GATCACACATCACTAAGATTTATTATCATTCTGGCAGAAGGAAAATAAACTACAGAAGTTATTCATGCAATTCAACACAATCTATTTAACACCTTCTCTGGAAATCACATTATCTAGCCCTAGAGCTATATAAGACTTCTTAGCATTTAAAAAAGAAATAGAGACAAAGCAACCAAATTTCAAGGGTGTTCCAACAATTATTATAGATTGGACAGAAAATGAACTGGTACTTTAAAGGGGTTTTCAAGTAAAACTTGAACAGTCAGGACTGCTTTAGACTCAAACCACAATTCAGTAGTTGACTTTTCTGGATTTACCTGCAGCCTCTGAGGAGCCCTTCTGTTGTTTTTTTTAATGTGCTATAATCAAAGAAAAAAGTTTAGCAAACAGCACTCTCTTAATCACACTGAAACCAATCTGAGTCATCTTCTCGGGAAACTGTGGACAGAAACGCTGAAAACTTTATGTTCACAGAAGCTGTTGCATATTGCTTGTCTACTGCTGGCTGCTGTATCTGCACTGCCTTTTGCATCTGCAATGCAATTTTAATAGAATCAATGCACAGGATATAAAATTTATAGACTGAGTTAAATTGCCAGCTTCATCTCTGCCCATTTAACTCGAACCCACAGCTCAGACTTAGAGGTGTGTACGTACAACTGTACAACCTGTACATGCTTGTGTGCTCATAGACACACAGATAAATATACACTCCTCACAGAGATTACAATGGCACTATTCATTTGGACATGTCCATGTGGAAAAGTTCAGAAACATCAACCTTTCAGAAATTCAATTTATTTTTCATGATAGAAGGATCTGGATGGCAAAAAAAAAAAGCTGCAGACAGCTTTATTCAGACAATTCCTAGACTCCAACCCATCTTTCAGTGCCAGCTGCAGTGTAATTTTCAAGGGACAAAAGAGTGCCAGGAGGAGAGTAGAGCTGCTGTAGGTGCAGCTGTTGAGCAATAGCCTTATGTAAGACTGTGCACTTAGGACAACTGAACCGCTGCTCACTTCTGATACCCAGTAAGGGTGACTCAGCTCAAAGTGCAAAAAACTTTTCACCCTAAAGCTAAAGAGAAATTCTTGTCCTTAAAATAACACAGCAGTTTTGATAATATCTGTTATCAAGCTGCCCTATGGGTCTGTAAGTGAAAATTTAATACAGAAGGCCTGCTGCTGATATTAAATTGAGCACACATTTTTGCTATTTCTTGTTTGCTGTTCATTAAGGAATAACACAGAAAAGAATTACAAAAATATGCAACTGCCTGGAAGGGAGTGTAAAACTTTTTTTCTGTAAGGTGCTACTAACATTGCAAGCCAAATATACAATTAGCAAATACCAGGCTGTTAGAATAGCTTAGCACTTCTGTCCCAGTCACTTAGCAAACTCTGCTGAACAGAAGCTAATTCATCTCAAAAGTCTTGTGAGAAATGGGTTATGAATTTTCCTAAGTAAAAGCTGTCACATCAACTAGTTACTAACTGATCTTTACTGTCCTCAGCACTGCAAAGGACACAAAGTTATGATCTGGGCTACAATCTCATGTTGGTTTTAAGGCTCTTGTCTCCTCTTTGGAGATTTACTCTGAAAATACAGTAGTAAGCATATATCCTAAACTGTTAAGGGAATTATGAGACTATTTAGGTAGAGAGTATGCTTTTTTTTCCTCTTCTGTCTGAGGAAAGAGTTAGAAGATCACTGTTCTAGCAATGCTACTATGCATTCCTGTAGTTTAAAACAGAGTAACAAATATTCAAGTATGTAAGCTACTCTTAAATCACAAAAAATCCAGAAACCATGTATCCAGTGGGAAACAGAATTTTGATCCACCCATAAATAAATACATGCTAGCACAACTGAGCCTGTAACCAATTCAAGAGCTACCTACCAAACATGAAGTGATAAATTCGTACTAACTTAAATGAAACCTCTTTGGGTTCTACTCAATGTAAACACCTGTGTTGAAAATAAGTAGTAGAATAATTGAAGGACAAATTTCTTAACACATATAAGAAATTATATGCTGCTGCATTTCATGTATGTATGATCCTTTACAGTTGGAACAGTCCTAAGACAATGTAAAGTCTGAAAAACTGATATTCCTGGAGAGCTATGTAGTAATTAAGAAGTTATGAAAAAATACTTTTACAAAAGTGTTAAACAATTTTAACAGTAAAATGCTTAATCATGTCAGACTGTTACAGGCATTCAGTATCCTCATAAAAACATCTTAGTAAGAGCTCCACATGCAGTAAGAACCACCTCCATTTTGATTTGTAAAAACAGTTATACATTGGCACAGGGAAATTAAAATACAGGAGAACAGAGACTACAGCAAAGCTTGAAAAGAAAAAGCTTAGAGATACACAGGTCACATCAAGGTCTTCCTCGCTCCTAAGTCGGCTTCTCCTGCTGCTCACTCATGCAGGGAGATCATAATTTTGTGGCTGTGATATTTCCACGGCAACACTGGTGACAGTGATGTCACAAATTCAGTCCTGACATAGCTTCAGGATCAAGTACAAGGAGCAGATGGGATGCGAGGGAGAAAGCCCCTATTTAAACACAAATCTCTTTCAGAAGAAAGAAAGAGGCGTGAGCAAAGAACCAGGTGAATGGATCATGTTTTCAAGTATGATATATTCAAAAGATTATCCTAGCATGAAAATCTATTTAAAGGCAAGACCTACAATACAGGGTAACTGTCAAATTTGTTAGGCCTTATAATAAACCAACCTTGAAAGCTCCCTGTTTTGCATGACAAGCCCTGTGCTCCGTTTCTAAAGTGGCACTGAAGACAATACACTTTTGTCCCTTGTGAATTTCCTTTAGATAACTTTAACATTCAGATATATTAATTTGATACATCACTGTGCTCATAATACCATATGTAAATATGATGTCAAGCCCTCACTGGAGTGAGTTTGTTATCTGAATTAGATATGATATGAAAGACATTAAAACAAATCCCAGATGGGTCACCAAGTACAACAGGATGGTAACTGGAATATTCAGCCAGCACTGTTAGATTGGCAAAAGGGGACTGTACTTTTGTCCTGATCTGGATGCATGCAAGAATCAACACAAGCTGCAGGCCAGCTAAAGACCCTTACCAAGTTCCACACTGCAGACTCCAAAAAAATTATTGGTATCAAACCCATTGCTATCTTTGGCCACCCCATGACCCAAGAGTAACTGAGCCCACAGAGCATAGAAGCAATTGTGACAAAAAGGGGAATAGCAGGGAATGCAACCACAATACAGCCACAAACAGTTCCCACATTAACTCGGGTCACAGTGCAAGGAGATACAGATTTCTTAAAGATGCTTCTCCCCATGAGGACAAGTGATAAACAGCAAAACTACTAAGCAAGAAAGGCAAGGGAAGTGCCTATGACCAAAATTCAGGTGTAGGCAGTCATTCACAGAGCTGCACGCAATGAGAAGTGGTTTCTTATGGCAGCAGTGGCAGAAAGATGCACAAGAAAAATGAGAAGTCAAACAGAAGATAAAAGAAATGAAAAGGATATAGATCCATGTTCTGATCACAGAAGGAAAAGGCCCACACTGTTCCAAGATTTCAAGATGAAGACCTGGAAAGATTACCATCAGTCTAGCTCTCAGGGGGAAAAGGAAGAAAGGGAATAGAATTTGCAGCCTGAAGCTGGGCCTAAGCCAAGACATGAACAGGCCCCCAGGAAGGGATACTGGGTGGGGGCAGAGACTAAAAAAACAATGCAAGGAGAAACAAATCCAAAGTCAAGTAGCTAAGCAGGGTTGCCAGACATCATCTATGAAATCACTAAGGCAAAAATTGCAAAAGGGAGAGAAAAGTAGGCAGAGTGCCACATGATTCAAGCCACAACAATAACAATGATCATAGTTAGGAAAGTCCGCCTGATTTGCCAAACTATGACAATACCAAGAGCAAATCAAAAAGCAGGTGATAAACTGGAGGGTGCTGGCTGGTAAGAAAAATAATTAAAAGACCCGAAGGCCTACAATTGTTTAGCTTCAACCAAAAGGGGTTTTTTCCCAAACACATTAGGCACATTCTTACAACTCACACTAACAGAAACGCTGTCTGAAATATAAAAAAACAAGGAATAGTTTGGGGCTATAAAATTCTACAGGCCTCTTACTTGTTAAAGTAGCAAACTCTGGAAACAGTATCCATTAGCACAGTAGGACAAGAAATACAGTCTATTTTAAGATGTAGTTTATTGTTTTTATAGTTGTGATTAAGACACAGCTGTTACAGACTAACATGACTACAATACAACCCCAACAAGACTCCTCCTCTCCCTTTGCTTTTGTAAGGCCAACAGCCTCGGATGAGAACATGAACCCAGTTCCCCCAGTGGACTTTCAAGAGGTCACTTTAATTTCAGTACTGGAAAGCCCATCTTCTTTTTACCCAAGAGGAAAAAAAAAGCCTCTCTCAGACAACTCTTGCACTACTACATCTCTTTTACCTCCTGTTTATAGAGATGTGAAAGTGACGGCTGATACAAGCTCAAGGCAGCTCTCATTGCTGTTTGTATGGTGCAGCAAGCCAAGGCAGCTGCCAAACATGAGCTACAAAGAAAGTCTCTTCTATTGTTTTTCAGAAAATAACTTACTTTCTCTCTATCACACTGATCAAAATTAACATTCCCCTGACAGACAGAAGTCAATTGTTCTTCTAAAATGAAATCTTGCACAAAATCAATATTTTAAGAGTGGAAAATACACTTCAAGTCCAAGTTTTGCAAATATATCATGGAGAACAAAAATATTTTTACAACAGCTAAAATGAAAACATAACAAAACCCCACAACAACTACAAAGTAATAGATTTTAAAAAGCAATAAAATAATCATAGGCACATTCTAACACAATGTCAGTCCAAAAGCAATTCAAAGTACAAAATAACACTAGACTGGCATGCCAAGTATTTTTTCCAGCTGTCATTTCTCTATATAAATATCATAGGCACAGTGTATTACCTTCGTTTTCTGAAGCTTGGCATTTTACTTTCAGTACCAAATCAAAGGTACGTTCTGGATTTTCCCTAGAAGAAACAAACACAACCAATTATCATATACATATTTCAGATCTTATTTCTACTGTTATATTCTTTCCATTCTTTTTGTAGAATAATAAATAGAATTAAAATATTATTAAAACAAAATTAGTACTCAGATTAGTTCTAAGTAAGAACCAAAAAGTCGCATTTCCCTATACAGCCTTAAGAAAGGAATAAGAAAGATAAACAAGCTAAACTGTGTGATTTATTTACATTTTATTGTCACTGCCTTATATATCAAATAGCTTTTAAGTCACTTCACCATACCTCATCTAACAGTTGAGAAAAAAGAGCTACTAAGCTCCTTATCAATCAATCAATCAGCAACATTAATGGAGTCACAGGCAGCCTTTTCTAAAGCTATGTCTTATTTCTAATAAGTAGGAATAGCTCATCATCAGACTTTCATTTTAATTCGCTGTGTTTAGCCGCTGTCCTTTAAATGCACCTGATTAGCACCCCAAGGCCGAGACTCGTTTGGCTTCCTGTTTCACCAGATATTGATCGCCAGCTGGGCCTCTAAAGGCTGAACCTCAGGCGTGATTCACTGCGAGAGCCAACACGAGCGCACTAAGCGGGGACGGCCACAAGCCCGAGCTAGCCAGGAAGAGGAGCCTCCCTATCTGCAGTAGCCATCAAGGGCAGCTGCGTGTGACGGCCGGCGCCTCTTCCACCTGATGATAATAACAAACTGCGTGTGCCAACAGCAATTAACACTCAACCTAATCCCAAACTACATATTCATTGAAACGGGCCTAAATGCCATTACCACGCCATCCACCCCTCTCTGTCTACCAAGCACACTGCTATTTATATTAAAAACAAGAGGTATAACCGCACCCATATAAATTATCTATTTAACCACATAAAAGGCTCACAGTGGAACTCCTGTCTTGTGTAACACTCCCACTGAAATCAGCTGGAGATTTAAGCATAGGAAAAAAAAAAAAGACTTGGTTCCAGGTTTCTAGAATGCTTCACATAAAGCATACAGCAAATTAAAACATTGTTGTTTCTTTAAATAAAGTATTGAATGAAATCCAAAGGCTGAGCCAGGGAAAAACTCAGCTGTCACAAATTAATTGATTCAGTACATGTGCTCACTGACCTCAGCACCATCATCAATTGAGATACACAATTATCGTCTAATTCAGATTATGAAGACATAACCTGTCCATAACACACTCTTTCCTGGCATTTTAAAGCATTTTGTTGGGGAAATCCTTTATCTACTGATCCTGCATTTACGAGATGAAATTCTGGTCTGAGTTAGGACAGCGTAAATCCAGGACACTGGAGATTTAATCTGGTGTTAAACTGTCCATTGTTCCTCTGGCTGATGAGCAGGTTCAGAATGAAACTGATAAGGCTTGGTTGAGTCACCTAGAAAAGTGAACCACAAAGATCCTTCATTTGAAAAAAATGACATCTCCCCATGACATTGCTCTAGCTTAGGCCTTCGGTTTATCCTCTCAGGCTGGGGTTTTCTAATGTGAGTCGGTTTGTGTTACAATCACCAAATGAGTGCTTCTAACTCAACTCCTAGATGAGTTACACTCAAAAAAGGTCTTTAAAGTAATACTGCCTTCTGTCTTTCACTGTAGTACTCTAAAACTGCTTTTGCAGGAAAATGCTTCTAAGTTTACTCTTCACATCCCACTACACTCAGAAGTGTCAAAAATGTGTCAAACTAATCTGAGAATTGTGAGCCTGTCTCTCGTCTCTCGTTTCCCTGCCAGCTCCGCGGTGCCAGCCTGCTCAGAGCGTACAGACACGGAGTGTTTGTCAATTGCCGAACCCCGTGTGTAACATCTTGTCACTTTCAATGTCACCAGAGCAGGCGGCCGCTACCGGAGGGCAGCCCGGACGGCAGTGCTCCTGAACACCCCAAGAACCTCTTCTGCACCGGCCAGGCCGTAATGACAGAAGGGTGGTCTGCAACCACCATGGCCACAAGCTAAAACACAAGGAGTTTCACCTGAACGTGAGGAAGAACTCCTTTACACACTGAGGGCGGCAGAGCAGTGAACAGACTGCCCAAGGACGGTCGTTGAGTCTTCCCCTGGAGACTTTCCAAACCCACCTGGAAGTGTTCCTGTGTCACCTGCTCTACATGACCCTGCCTTGGCAAGGCGAGAAGACGGGATGATCTGCAGAGCTCCCTCCCTACCCTGACAATTCTGTGACCTCCTAGAGGGATGTCTGTAACATCCTCGGCCCGCGGCGGGCAGGGGCACTGCGGGCAGCTCTGCTGGGCCCGGCGGCCTCGGGACCGCGCTGCCACCCCCACACAGGCCCCGTTCGCCGGGCACAGCCCGACCGGCGCCGGGGCCTCTGCCCGGCCGGGCCGGCGGCTGCCGAGCGCGTCCCCCGCGCCGCTGCGGACGGGCGATGCCAGGGCCGCCGCGGGGCCGGGAGGCGGCGTGGGGCGGGGGAGCGGCCGGCGGGGCTGCGGCCGCCTCCTTCTCCTCCTCCTCCTCCTCTCCGCCGCCGCGGGCCGGGTCGGGGGGCGCCGCCGCTCCCCCCGCTCCGCGGATCCCGCCTCGCCCCGGCTCCGGCCCCGCCGCCTCCCGCCCGCCCTTCCCGCTGTCACTCAGCGGCCGCGGCGGACGCGCCCGGCCCCTCGCACGCTCCCGCCGGGTGGGCTCCCCCTCCTCCCGTCCCCGCCCGCCGCACGCCGGGCCCGGCGGACCGGGGCAGCCACGGGGCCTGCTCGCCGCCTGTCCTCCGCGGGGGCTCGGCTCGGCTCGGCCCGGCCCGCCGCGCCCCGCAGCCCCGGCGCGGCCCCGCACACACAGCACTCACTTGAACCTGCTGTCCATGGTCACATCGCGGGCCCCGGCGGCGGCCCCGGCGCCCCCAGGGACAAGCGCCCCGCCCGGCAGGGGCGAAGGGGCAGCGCCGGCCGCGGAGCGCTGGGCGGCGGGGGCGGCTCAGCGCCGCGGCGGGCGGCGGCCCATGGCTGCTCCGCTCCGCTCCCCCGGCTCGGGCCGCGACTGCGGCGGAGCGCGGCACCGCCTCCTCCCCCGTCTCTCAGTTCCTGTTGCAGCCGCTCCGGCACCTTCTGGGAACCAGGAAGCTCCGCGGCGGCCCGGGGAGCCGCCGGGGCTGGTGTCACCTGAGGGCGGCGGGGGAGGGCGGCAGCCCGTGCCCTCCGCGGCAGGTGCGCTGTGGAGCCGGCCCGAGCCCCGGCGGGTGGGCCAGAGCAGCGCGTGGGCACCGTCAGGTGTCCCCTCACGGGCACCTGCACCCGCTGCTCAAACCGCTCACGGCATGGCTCCGGCTCGTGTTTGCACTGACACTTGGTAGCGGCTCCTTCACGTTCTTATATGCGCAGCAGGAAAGGGGAGCTTTTCGTGCTAAAGGTCATAAATGTTAATTTAACCTGCTGTAATCTGCTTAGCTTTTTGTTTTATCGAGTGCTAAACAAACACTATCCCAGACTGCTGAAGAGCTGGTGCAGCAGGGACGGCTGGAGCAAACCCACCGTGCTGTAAACACACATAAAAAGCTTTCAACCTTCGAGTGCTTCCCTCGAGTTTGGAAAGGAAATAAAAATAACACCGTCCTTGAGAGGCTTCCAAGTCTCATTCATCTGAGAGGCACTGAGCAGCCAAATTCCCACCTACACCAAGTTTCCCTCACCAACATAGTAACACTGTAATGAAAAAGTGCATAAAATAGATTCTGTGGTACTGGGCCAAAGAAAAAACGTCATTCTTTTCACTCTTCCTCCAGAAGCTAATCATCGTATCAACAGTTGAAAAGATGAAAAAAATTCAAGCCAATTATATATTAAACACATAAAATGGCATTAGTGCATTACTGGGGCTGAAAAATCAAATATTCAAAAGTCAGGAAATTACAAATATTAACTTCTCCAAACCAATATTGTTTTGGCTTCACTGCACATCCTACACACCTCACAGGACATAGATTAACTAATAATAAACCATAGAGATGTGCACCAAAAAGAACTGAATGTTGTAGCAGTAACCTTAGCTTGGGGATTGTCTTGGGTTTCAAGTACTTACTTTCCCAGTCCTCATTCTGTGGTAATTTTTGGCTGTGTTTTAGCAGCCAGTATTTGCAACTCCCACTGAAGAAAATGAAATTGCTTGGGGCTTAACATATAACAATGCACTTCATGTAGCTCAGGGGTTTTTTAGGAAAAAAAAACCAAACAGTTAACTGTGGGTTTTTGTGTACATGAGAGGCCCTCACAGCAGGCAGTGTTAATTCACCCACTGTTAAATTGAGCTTTTCTGGTGGGATCAGTCTGGAGAGAAGGGAACAGTGCCCATGTCTGCTCTAGCAAGGGGATGGGGAGAGTAAGGCATCCAGCACCCGAGGATGTTACAGAACCAAAAGGAGAAGAAGCACTCGGGGAAGGATCTGGGGCACAACTTCAGTCATGTCTGTACCTCTGTCTTTCTGCCTGCCTCCCTTCTGCCCTCCATCTCTCCCCTCAGACCTACTGCAAAGCACACAGAATTTGAAAGTCTCTTTTGAAAAAAAAAAAAAAAAAAGGCCAATACTTTAACAAGATTGAATTTGGATAAGATGATTACCCAAATATTGAGATGTTTTACTTGTGGAAAATTTCCACTTGAGGTGTACAAGAAAGAAGAAAAGCCAAAAAACCCAACACCCCACCTCCAAAAAAACCCGGGATTTCAGTAAATCTGTATTTTGAATTACAATAAATATTTTATAAGTCTAGTGTATGTTTATTTCTCTCTTCTCTTAAGCTGCTGATGCTTGCCACTTTTGCAGTCTGGCGGCCTGTCAAGCTGATCTACCATGCAGTTCCAGCCACTCTTGGACTAGGGTCTGTCTTGGCAGATAGGACCATTGGGTCCCTTAGATTTCATTTTATCATAATTGGAGGAAAAATAGGTAGGGTTTCTTTCCCAAAGTAAATACATGCCTTGTCACTGGAGTAAATTGACTGCATGCAGTGACTAAACTTTGCCTGCCTAGAAGAGCAGGAAGAGTAGAGAAAGTTCAACTTGAAAATAGAAGGCATATGAGAGAACACCCTGTTGAGATGAGGCTCACATCTCTCAGAGCTATTATTTCAGACTCTGTGAAAGCTTAAGCAGACATCTCTGCCCAGGTTACACTTAGTTGATGTTTTCAAGACTGTTTTGCAACCACAGCAGCTTTTAATGAAAGATGATGTTTTGGGAAAGGTATTAGTGTTCAAAACCACCTCTTGCTACTGCCTCGGTTTCATCTTTTCCTTGGAAGAGAATCAAGGAAGAACGAAAAGCTGAAAGCAAAACCTCTAGACATGCAGAAAATGGATTAATTTAGTATATTCTGAAGCTGTGAGTGTAGTTTACTTTACTCTGGTTTTCCATTCCAAATTAGAGCCATGAAGCAACTGATACTTGGACTTTTCAGAATCAGCTGTTCTATGCATAATCCGAAAGACACAAAGCCTTTTTCTTTAAATTTTGCATAACATGAAAATGGCTGACCTCCACCTAAATTATATCCCACAGATTAGCGTAGGAACTGATATAAGGGGATTTGCAGGAGATGGGGGAGATGAGCATTTGGTTTGTAGATAGAAGCAACTGAAAAACAGGTAACTTAAGAGATGAAGATTCCTACTCAGTCTTCCATTGCAGTTTACCAGTGGGGAATATTCATTAGTCATCTTTTTACCAGTCTAATAAGGAAAAGGAGCTTTAAAACTGATACAGATACTTACACAATTCAGCTCTTATGTACTGGCAGTAAAAGAGATCTCATGTAAATTGAATTGGACCTACAAGCCTTAATTTTCTCCCAGATTTATTAATGCTTTGGAGTAAAAGGCCAAATGAAAAAATATCCGAAAATCTACTTCATCTGAATTGGACAAGAGGAGAATGGAAGTGCCATCAGGGCCGCTCCAACTCAAGGATCCTGGAACGGCCTACGTTGGAGGAACCTTGAAGATCATCTCATTCCAAGTTCCCTGCCATGGGCAGGGACACCTTCCCCTAGACCAGGCTGCTTAGAGCCCCATCCAACCTGGCCTTGAACACTTCCAGGGATGGGGGCATGCACATCTTCTCTGGTCAGCCTGTGCCAGTGCCTCACCACCCTCAGAGCAAATAATTTATTCGTAACACTTTTAAACCTACTGTAACACTTGTAAACCTACTGTCTTTCATTTTGAAGCCATTCCCCCTAGCCCTGTCACTACATCCTTTTGTAAAATGTCCCTGTCCATGTTTTTTGTAGGCTCCTTTCAGGAAGGGTGCAATTAGGTCACCTCAAAGCCTTCTCTTCTCCAGGCTGGACAAACCAAATTCTCTCAGCCTTTGCTCATAGGAAAAGTTCTCCATCCCTCTGATCAGCTGGGTGTCTCCTTCTGGACTCCAGCAGCTCCTTGCACTTGGCCTTACTAAACATCATGGGATTCCCAAACCTCATGAGATTTGTTATCAGTCCCAAAAACCCACAGAGCATAGTTTGTAGTTTACAACCAAGCTCAATATGGACACAACAAGAGATGTAGATGAAAAACACCAAGCAAAATGCCAAAACAAGTATCACATCATTTCTGTTAGCAATCTGCCTTTCTCTGCCAAATCAAAACCATGTGGGTTTATGTCTATAAAAGTGGTGCAAAGCAGGGTTAAAATCTCCAAAAGGGAGATGAGAAACAGACAAAAACTGGCCACGCATCCTCTCACTTGGAAATGGCAGAGCAAGGCAGAGAAGCTCCATGCAAAGCCAATTACTTTCTTCAAGTTGGTACCACTACATTCACACATGTAGTGATTTTCTTTTGGCACAGAAGGCATAAAAGGGACAGAGGGGAGGCAAAAGCACAAATCCTCTGAAGACAAAAATTATTCTGTTCAGTATTTAGCATGGGGGAATTTGAATCCTCCTAATGCAAACTGCAAGCACCCATGCTTTGTGCAGGGTGATTCACAGGGAGCACAGGAAACAGAATTTACCCTACACACAAATGCCACCCTATGAAGGGGTTTTGGGTTCACTGACTGAATGCAGCTCTGTACAGATCTAAACCTCCCATCCCAAATAACTCCAGCAAGGCTTTAAGAGTAGAAAACACTCATCATCACCATAAGCTGGAGCATACATATTGTCAGTTAAGGAATCTTGAGTATCACAGAATTCCTCACTAGCCAGATACGATTAATTTAATAGTAAAGCATACTAAAAGATAAAGTGATCTTCCTCTTAAGTGCTCCTGAAACCCATAAAGGGATTTCCTTCAGAACATTGTTAGCAAAGCTTGCTGAAAGACATGTTCTCCTCTGGGAACACCAATGGTTTGTCAAAAATGGCAAAATCAAAACCTATTGAGTTTCCCACTCTATGGCCATAATAAATATTTTTTAGAATACTTTGATATGATCTGCAGTTTATACCTTGTACCAAGAATTCTCTACTCACCCCTGAGTGTACTTGGGTCTGTTTTAGTCCTTGTTCTTTCAAATAAGTTACAGTAGGTTTATGTTATCTCAGCAGCTATCAGTACATCTCCTAACAACATAATCACCTTGTCACACCTTACAGACTTGAAAAGCATCTCTTACAATGAGAGTTTGCTCTCAGCCCAATTTTAATGGGGTTGGAGGCTTGGGGTTTTTATCACCTTGTTTAAATCTTACACACACCCATTCCCAGTTGTAAATGAGTGACTATGTCATCTCCCCTATGCAAAGTTTTCCAAACCACTAAATTCACAAACATCAATTTCCCCATTAAACTCCGTAGCCATAATACTGTCATGAGACAATACTTAAAGACAAAATACTGTACTTTAAAAAAACACCACATACCTACATTATGTGATTTCATCATTCAGTTTCTTTA